GACGAGGGGTGACATGATAGCAGTCTTCCAATATCTCAGGGGCTTCCCCAAAGAAGAGGGAGTCAAGCTATTCTCCAAAGCACCTGAAGGCAGGACAAGAAGCAACAGATGGAAACTAACCAAAGAGAGAAGCAACCTAGAACTAAGGAGAAACTTCCTGACAGTGAGAACAATTAACCAATGGAACAACCTGCTTCCAGAAGCGGTGAATGCTCCAACACTGGAAGTTTTTAAGAAGAGACTGGACAGCCATTTGTCTGAAATGATATAGGGTTTCCTGCCTGAGCAGGGGTTGGACTAGATGACCTCCAAGGTCCCTTCCAACTTTGTTGTTGTTGTTGTTGTTGTTATTATTATTATTATTATTATTATTATTAACCCAGCCTAAATCTCTATATTAGCCCATTCTGCCTTGTAGCAAAGTTGCTGGCTGGAGAAAAGGGCTGTACTTATGAGTTGGGTGGCTCTCTCTTTTTTGTTTGCTAAACAATAAATAAATTTTGATCGAGCATTGGAACCGTTATGCCTTTTACCCAATATTTATGATGAAGGAAGAGTTCTGATGATGAAAACATCCATTAAGGAGACAGGCTGATGTTATTATTACCCACATTGATTTTTAACCAAATTGGAAGTAGCATGCCAGCCATCCTGGTCCAATCCTGGTGCTTCCTTAAGGGGGCGTGGCGATTCTCCTGGTCTGTGTCCCACCCCTTTCAATGTGGCTGTCTCTGCAGGATTGTTGTTGGAGAAAGGAAAAGATTAGGTCGGGAGGACCATAGTTAAGAGGAGAAAGGTTCTTCTCCAAGAGGGCCACCACAAGGAGGGGCCTTACTATGAAAAGTAAGACTCCACTTCCTCGCAACTCATCCAGCCAACTCAAACTGGGGGGGGGGGGAATAGGGAGCAAAATGATCCGTAAAATTAGTGCCCCAATAACTCACTCCAAATAGAATTAACCCGGTTATGTTTTATGGTTTTCATGGTTTTCCTGCTTTTATTGTTTTGAATTCTTTATTATTATTATTATTATTATTATTATTATTATTATTATTATTATTATTATTATTAGGATCATCGCACAGTCAGCCAGATGTTCAGACTGGATTTGGCATTTTGTCTACCTATCGAGTTATTATTATTATTATTATTATTATTATTATTATTATTATTATTATTATTATTATTATTTGGATCATCGCACAGTCAGCCAGATGTTCAGACTGGATTTGGCATTTTGTCTACCTATCGAGTTATTATTATTATTATTATTATTATTATTATTATTATTATTATTATTATTATTATTATTATTATTATTATTATTTGTTCTGTTGCTCTTTTTAAACTTTGCTTGCCACACAGAGCCAGGTATAAAGAACCCCCATCCAAAGAAATAACGAAATAAACCCTACTTTTACTGAGATCTCTAATCTCCTGGCCTTCTCCAACCTACTGCCCTCCAGATGCAGGGCATTACAGCCACTCTCTCCAGTCCGTAGGAAGCAGGAGGTTGGGGTGATGGGGGCTGTAGTCCCAACTTCCACCACAGCTGCAGGGCTCTAGGTTGGAGGAGGGGGTTTCCCTTGGAGCCCTACACGCAGATATTGCCCACCCCGGAGGAAAGAAAGACCCCCCCTCCCCATCTCCACCTCTCCTTTCCTGCTTGTGGGGATTCCGCACCTTGGCCAATTTCTCCTGGTCCCCTTCCCAGGCCTTCTCCTCGGGGCCCCTGGTGTCCAGGGGGTCCTCACTGGGTGACTGCAGAGGCATCTCCGAGCAGAGAGGAAGGACTTCCTTTCCTTTCCCTTTCCTCTTCCCTTTCCCCTTTCCCTTTCCTTTCTTTTTTCCTCTACCCCTTTCCTTTCCCTTTCTTCCCCTTCCTTTCCCCCTTTCCTTCTCTTTCCTTTCCTTTCCTTCCTCTACCCTTTTCCTTTCCCTTTCCCTTCTTTCCCCTTCCCCTTCCCTTCCCTTTCCTCTACCCCTCTCCTTTCCCTTTCCCTTCTTTCCCCTTCCCCTTCCCTCCCCTTTCCTCTACCCCTCTCCTTTCCCTT